GAGCTCCCAGAGCGCTCCCCATCCCGCCCGCTGCCCGCTCGCGCTGCCGACGCCCACCGCCGCGCCACGCGCCGCTCCCGCGCTCCCCGGGGCGGGGCCGTCCCTCCTGGCCCCGCCCCCTGTGAGTCCCTGCTGGGCTCAGCGGAGCTGCGGCTCCTGGGCAAGGCCTGGCGAGGGCTCGAGGGTACCTCGGTGGCTCTGGGCGCTCGGAACTGGGGCTGCGGGACGAGGGGTTTCCCCTCGCTCCGGTGCTGAAGGCTCCTCTCTGGAGCCGCTCACCTCCGGAAATGCGCCACGGTGCACAGCAGGGCTCTGCTTGAAGCCATTTTGGAGACAGGCTGTGGAGTAGAGCAGCTTGCGCCTGTGACACGCTACTGAGGTTTGTTTTCATGAGGGCTTTTGCCCTAGAGCAAACCCAAAGTGCCAGCTTGGCAACAGGATAAAGTGTTTCTGTCGTGTTTGTTGGCAACTCGGCTTACAGTGATTTCAGTCCTGAGATGCTTCTATGAGACTCTGTGATTTGAGAGAAAAAAAGAAAAAAACCACGTTTGCTGCATTGAGGATCAGGCAAGAATGACACCGGTAGAGAAAGGGTTCTGTACCTTGATGCTCCTTTACTTCAGATCCCGTGTGCCACAGGCAGCATCCAGTTAAGTAACAGCCTTAGCAGTAACACTGACAATACATAGGACAGTGCACAACCACACTCCTTTGGCTCAATGGAGTTTCAGTTTGTTGCTGAACAGTTGTTACAGAAAATCTCCATCACATGGCTGAAAACAATAACCTTCACATCCTGTGGTGGAAGAGGCCAGGAACAGACTGGCAGGGGAAATTTAGATTGCACATCCCTTACGTAGTTCTGTTTCTTGTGCAGTTTGAAATGGCATCAGTATATCTTTGGTATTCATCTGAGAAAGGCTTAGCTGGGAGAGCAGCTGGCAGTCACTGTTCATCCAACATAAGCTCTGTCCAAAAAGGCATCAATTTCCAACATCTCCAAGCAAAATTTGTTTGAAATGAAAATCGAACAAAACGATGTTTTCAAGTTTTTCATGTTGCAGCACACCCAAGATACAGTTGTGTTCTCATAGAGATGTTAGTAACAGCAGTAACAATAAAATCAGACCGAGAGATGATGAGGTACCGTAGCAATGGTTGCAGGGAAAGTCAAGATCATTTCAGAAAGGAGTGCTCTGGGAAGATTAGCTTTTAGAAACCTCTCCATTGCCTGGCCTAGACAAAGCCCTTCCAGTGTTTATAGTTTCCCCTTGTAATGCAGAACACTGTTTAGAGTAATATTTATAGTAAGAACAGTCACCCACTGGAACAGCCTCCCCAGGAACATGGTAGAAGTCCCATCCCTGGAGGCATTCAAGGCCAGGCTGGGTGTGGTTCTCAGCAACCTGATCATTGCAGGGAGGGGAGGGACCTTTGAAGGTCCCTTCCAACCCAAACTAGTCTATGATTCTATGACATGGTAGAGTCGATGCGACTGGACAGGATGCTAGGTAACCTCACCTAGGCTCCCCTTCCCAGAGAAGGCTGGCCCGGATGATCTTTCAAGGTCCCTTCCAGCCTGGGCTGGTCTGTGATTCAATGAGCTTGGGGATACTGGGAGACTGAAGAGAGACATATCTTCTTTGTGTGCCCATCACCATAGTCACAAGCAGCATCTGTGTGATCATTCCTTTGAAATCCACTAGAACCAATCATTACCCAGAGAGTAAGATGCTGACTTGCCTAAATGGGATTCACACGGGAGGGATGAATCACACAAGAGGAAGCCTAAGAGTACTGAATACCAGAGAATCACGTTAGGATAAAGAAGTTTTGTGAAGTCAGAGAGGACTCCATAATGGCTGATTACCTCCATGTGCAATTCTTATCAAAGAGGCAATTACATAGTAAAATGACTCAGGTTGATTCAATGCATCATGAATGCTACTATCACTAGTGCTAACACAGAGCAGATGTACTCACTCTGCAGCTAAAGCAAAAAACCTCTCCTTCCTGAAAAGCTTAATCACCATTTACATGTCTGAACAAAACTCTGATCTTTTAGAAACTATATGCAGCACTGTAACCCTCCACGCATAATGTGGTCATATATAAATGTATGGTTTTAGATGTTATCTTTTATTTACCATAGCAACTTGACCTAGGACCTATTTGATCTCTTTCCCCTTTTTTTTTTTTAAACCCATCTAAAGTACCCTGCCAGAAGATTATGTGCCTTTACAAACACAGTAATCAGGGGAAGTTTCAAGCACTTTCAAGAACATATACAACATATTTCAAAAATAAAACCTAGCTTCCTCTTAACCAGTGGATTTGGTATGAAGGGACATTTGTGGACAGGACAGCTCATGAGAAACTTAACTGGCTCAAGCCAGCAACAAAATAATCCTGGTAATAGAGGGGCATAAAACCGTATTTCTCAGGATGTTGGGATGTCAATAAAATGACAGGATCTCACAATTTGTCTGAAAAGGATCTGAGAAAGAGAGAAGGGGCCATGGAATGAAAAATTCTTCTTCCCACACTGGTAGAAGCTATTTTCTTTTAGATATGCATCCTTGTCCCATCAAATATAGGTCCCTTCCATGCAGACATTTTACAGACTTACTGACATTTACCTGACACACAAAACCTGTCTCCAAAAAACCCCATTCCTACACGTTCTGACACAACTAAACTTTACACAGAGCCTAGCATGGTGAGCATCTGGACACTGCTATGGCACAAAGAAAACCACTGCAGATTAATTTCAATTAACATTTATACTTTGGAAGAGTTAGTTGTAGCAATTATAAGGCATCCTTCAGGGGTCAAGTAGTCCATGTTAATACAGACTTTCAAAGCTGAAGTCATTCCTACTCGTATTTTTTGCTAATACATAGAACATTTTCATAAATACGATAGGCACAGACAGGTTTTTTATAACCATCAATCTATCTTCAGTGTCAAACACAGCAGCTGCTTTATCCTCAGCAAAAAGCTTTAGCATGGTTGTGTGGCTCAGTCTGCTGCCCCAAAGCACCTTGTTCTTCAGCTACAGCTGTAAGTACAGATTTGTCTTTCAGGATTCCAGGCAGCAACATTTTTAATGGGTTTGGTTTGTGGGTTTTTTTTTTTTTTAGTTTATTCATTTTTGATATCAGATGCTTTTTCTCTGTGGGAAAGATACTATCTTCTTGACATGCAAAAGTCCACACTGCACATCAATGTATGGAGAATGGAATGAAAGTGTATCAGCAACAATGCATTTGACCCAACCCACTATTTTTATCCCAGTCATGCAACCTTTGCCCATTATACACTAGGGCATGCTGCCTCCATGTGGCAGCAGATGCTTCAGACATTCTTTGTTCCTGCGTTTCATGCAACCTTGTGCGTGACTATAAATCTTGTAAATCAGTTTTGGAAACAGAAGGAATAGAACCCGTACATTATTTCTGTGAGAAAGGGCAATACGGGGATGAGAAAAATAATTAATCATATTGATACCAGTGCTTTTCACTCAAATACTCACCAGGAATGCACAGTACAGTACAAAGGCTATATATATATGTATGTATATGTATAAAAAGAATGCTTTCTCAAATGTTTATTACGTGATGAAAGAATAATATTTGAAAAAAAATTCACATCCTGAACTTGATCAAAGGGGACTGCTGGCTCTTCAGGCCTAGTAGCTAAAAGCAAGACTGAAAGAGCTCTTCAAAAAATTACATAAAACTGTATCACATTCTTTTTTTAGTTTATAACTGGTTTGATTCAAACTTGACTAAAGACCATAGAAGTTGCTTTACCATTAGACCAGCTATCTGATTAAAGTAGCACTAACACTGTGTTATGGGTACAGGGTTTTTACCATGACTAAAATGGAAATACTTTGTGAAATTGGTATATTTTCTTCCACACCACACTCACCCACCCGAAGCCCCAACCTCCACCTACTTTATCAGTGTTGTTAGATACAAGACCTAAAGAAGATAAAAACCAAGACAATTACTCTGCTGCCCATTTGTGTCTTTACATTTCAGTCTCCACTAGCTGACCACAAATGCATTCCACCTCACTGTGAACAAGGTCGTCAGATGTAACTTCCAGACTGGAACGAAGAGACATGGTATGGCTGAAAGGGTTTTGTAAATCACCAGTGCCGTGATATTTAGGATCTCCCTGCTTTGGTTAAGATGTGTTATGATGCTTTTGTCAAATCTCAGTCTTACTGCATAAAATACACAGGGCAAGGAGGTGCTAAATTTATGGTGAGATCTGTTTAATTTTTCTTTTTTTTTTTAAGACAGTGCAAGGTCTGGAGACAGTGTGAGAATCTCAAGGTTAGGGTGTTGCAGGGTGCTATCCAATTTTAGCTTACATTTCATTGTATAAACATTTGCCCATCTCTGTTTGGTATCCAGCAAACAATCCTATTAGAAATTTTCCAAACGTCTGTGTGGTTTTGCCTCTGAGTACTGTCCATTTCAAAATTTGTCGAAGTATAAATTAGTAGCTATACATCTGTTGTTGTTGCTCTGTTTGAACCTGTTGCTGTCCTGACTGTTGTTGCGCTGGCTGTGCCTGAGGCTGCAACACATCAGTCTGAGGCACTGACCTCCACGTCAGAGGATGCTGTTCTGTTATCTGGCTCCCTAGAGGAGCAATGGAGTTCACCAAGGTGGTCAGGTTTATAAAATGGGCCACAGACTGAGGATTAGCTGCCTCTGGCTGCGGCTGGATCTGAATGTCATTTTGGCGGTTGTGCAGCATGGCAGAACCACTGACAGTGTCAAACGTCACAGTGAGAATTGAGTTGTCCAGCTGTAGCTGGCGTTCAGGAGCTGTCAGATGGCCCACAGCCACAGGCTGGAGGTTTGTGAACTGGGTTCCAGCTGCCGTTGTAATGGGGGTAACAGTGATATTTGTCATCCCGACAGAACTGGAAGGGGCTGTGACATTTGGGTCGCCAAGGGTCACCACCACCTGAGGAAAAACAGAAAGGTAACTCAGCCTTGTATCTTGCAGCTGACCACCATATATCTAGCATGAAGAAAGATCACCTGAGTGCTCGTGAGCTCAGATGGCTGCTGCCAGAAAGAGAAGTCATACACACAGGGGAACATAGAAAGCTCGGAATATAACAACTTCCACAGAGAAATAAGAACGTAATGGGAGGCAGGCATATAAAATATTCAAAACAAGCAGCCAAATTAACTTTCACACTTTCAGTCACACGTTCACCCAGTTAGTGCTCTGGCAAACAAGGAGATGGTAACACCAAAATAAATAAAAACAAACATAAGGAGCTTAATGGTCCAACTCGTTTTTTTAAAAGGCCGTGTTCACCTTCATATTACCACAATTTATCATATTAGCTCTAGATGTTCCCATCACTTTTTTCTGTTTGCTATCAGGAGAAAAGAAGGGCTATCCTTCTAAGCAGGGCTGCTACCCATCACATTGCTACTGGAGCTCACCTGCTGGATGCTCTGGACAGCTGAATTAGTCTCATCTCCAACATTCCCTGTGAATTCACCTTCCTTCTCTGTGTATTGACTGAAGGCAGGGTCCTCAGGCACTTGAGCTTCCTCCTCCTCACCTGACTTTTGTTTTCGTTTCTGACCACGTTTAGCAGCTTTCATATGCTGTTTCCCTTCTGGTAATTCTCCCTGTTCCAAGGCTAATTCTGGCTGAAGAAACACATTTTAACAGCACCCATGTTAACCAACAAAACAGATAACAGCTTGCATCTGCTTACACATGTTAAGCTCGGGCTGACTCTCTAAAAAAGCACATTCCTTGTTCATCAGCCTGTGCCCAGCTATGTTATGTACCAAAAAAGTAATGTCCCCACATCACCCTTCAGTAGGCCCGGAACCTAGCTGCCACCAGAATTCCGCAATAAGGAATTTACCTGAACAATCCCAATTGAGGAGGCATCAATGGTAGTAGTCTCTGGCAGCTGCTCTAAATCATCAATCCTCACTGACAGAATCTGTAGGAAAAGGGGTATCTGCTGGTTAACTGCAGCAGTTCAGCAATGACAACCACAATCAAACAATAAAGCAGTGCCCTAATAAATCCTGTCACAAAGCAAAAACAATGCAATCTAACATGTTACACATAACGTTTAATACAAGCGCATTAACCATGGCTTTAAAAAAAATAACCTAATATTTTCCTTCTTGCTGAAAACCAGCAAAGTTTAAAGACGACAGTAGAAGAATGTTTATTTTTATAGTCTAGATAGAACACAAGTGATAGATTCTATAGAAAACAATGTGTTTGAAAAAATATTACTTTAGCATTTCTATTTATAAACCTATCAACTGTGTCCTACTCCATTATTTGCAGCTGAATCTATAAATCTCAACTTATCAAAGAACTGAAACAAATTGCCCTCTGCATTGCAGATATATAGCTGCATTTTTAATCAAAAAATCAGTAAAGAAAGCTTTTTGTTAACTTCTTCCCCAATCATCATGATAATAAAATGCTCATGGCAAAGCAATGCTAATGATAAAAAAAAAGCCTCAAAGGGAACAGACAAGCCTCAGTCAACCTAATCAAGAAATGCTGAGGAGAAACACAATAGCTATTCAGAAATTTAGAACACAGAAAAGAACCCCTTTGCGTTAGACAAAACATGCCTCTAATCCAGATTCTCTGCAGTCAGCATTCATCTTTTAATACTAAGAATTATTTTGTACCATCAGCAGATGCTGCCATCATGTCTCTATTCACCACCTCTTTCAGAGCACTTCTGAATACAGAGAACACAATGGGGAAAAAAGAATCAATTATACTCACTAACAGATGAAGACAAAACAGGAAAAAACATACATTTAAACTGGGGCAGTGAAAGAAAAGGGATTTAAATAATCAGAACAATTTCAACTTTAGGGTCTGACAATTGATATGTTTACTACTGAAACATAACATAATGAAAGGGCTGATTCAGTTAAGTGCATGCTTAACAGACACTTGCTAAAATGCCAGACTAACTCACCTCTGGATGTTTACGCCTCATATGTCGACTCATGGACGCTCTGGTAGAAACCTTTGTCCCACATAGCTGACAGCTCTGGGCTTCTACCTTATCATGAGTAAGCTGGATGTGCTTCTGCAGCATGTAATCAGTGACATATTTCTTATCACAGACTGAACATGTCCACTGTTTTCCTACTGGTGGCAGATGGAGGGAAACTCTGTTATCAACAGCCCCCAGAGATGAGGATTGTATTGTCAGCATCACAACAAGAGGAACAATTTTATGTTGGTAACATGCTGTGTAACACTAGTTCCAAGACTGGCAAATCTACAGCAAGCCTAAGAACAAAATTAAGATACTGTCTTTGGATACTGTTTGGAAGAGGGTTTACCTGTATGAATCAACTTATGAGTCTCCATTGTATTTCTTTCACTAAACGTCTTGCCACAAAGCTCACACATGAAATCTTTGATTCCTGCATGAAGAGCACATTTAGCATTCAGAGTGAAAACGGTTTAAGGTATCTGGGACAATTCCAAATCTCATATTACTAGAAAAATACTAAAGAAATCACAGCCAAGTAAGAAGCACCAGTGCAGCTTCACCAGCTATTTTTATCTAAGCCATACCACCATATCTGTCAGAAAATGAATCCAAAGGAAACTGATATGGGAAGTTTTGTTTTCATTTTCAGGAAAAGAGAACCTGAAGACTTAACTTAAACCAAACACTCTAGACCTATCCTAGACCAAAGCAACCTCTCTCACAAAAGCAAAACACAAACCCATCTAAGCTATGTATTTTCATTGCATATCAGGTGGTCTTGGCTGACAAAAGGTCAAAATCTAACTTTTCAAAAAGCAGAATATGCATATTTTTATTAGTTTTCCTCTTACTCCCAGACCATTCTACATTGAGTTCTTTCAGGAAGGATTTAACTGATTCAGTGCAACTTCTGTACATCTTCAGAGACCTCACCTGTGTGTCTTTTGTAATGCTTCAACATGTTGACTTTCTGTGCAAATTTTCGGTGACATTCCTTGCATTCATATTCTTTAATCCCTTTGTGAAGTTTCATGTGGTGACGAAGCGCATGTTTCGTCTTCATTCCTTTGAGACAAAGGGTACAGTGTGACAATTAGTCCATTGCTCCCACCTTAAAGGAGAACTCGGTATGAACATGTTGTTAACCAAAAGCTCTAAGATGAATTTTCTGTGTGTCCACAATTGCATATTTTTAATTGTTTAGGTAGCAGTGTACATTATCATTATTATTTTAATTCCAGGAATAAAGCTCTGGAAAACATCTAAGTAACCACTGAGGAAGAAGCAAATCAGCAGGGACAAGCAAAGACAAGACACCATTAGAGATGCCTGCCACTAAAATACCAGTTCAGATTTGTTCAAGTTGTAACGCGAACAGTTTGAAAAGTCAAAGCAACCTTGACTCTTTAAGCTCTTACAGAGAGAAATTACTCTATTTCTTAAGCCTGAAAACAACCTAGAATGGAAAAATTAACTTGTATTCACTTTTGTGCTGCAAATGTATTGGAACTCAGTCAGGCAAGCGCTCCTCCACCTGACAGAAGCAGATTTTATCAAAATCAATTTTGCCTTACAGGCCATGAAACTGAATTGTATAAAATTAGGGATAGTTCATGCAACCATAAGGCTTTTGATTAATACAGATGCTACCTCACAATCTGCAGGATTTACAGCACTCCAAGGACCTTCCCAATATTCTAAGAATGGAAGTTCAATTCTGAAGTTTAATTCAGATATTCACCTGCTATTCAGTATCACAATTAACGGAAAATGAGGCGTTAGACATACCTTTGCCACATTCTGCACACAAGTATTCTCGGATATTATCATGGACTCTCATATGTTCTTTTAACATGTCTTTTCTAGCAAATGATTTGCCACATTGCTCACAAGCATGACTTTTTACACCTTAAAAATAAATTTGAAAGACAACATAAACAAAAAAAGATGTTAATGAAAAATGTGCATCTCCTAAAATCTGACTAATCTGGTGAATTAGAGGGCAACAGTCCACCTGTGTTGTCAACCACATCTTTCATGCATATTGTAGCCCAAACTAAACCAAAATACTTTGGAGAGAGAGAGAAAAGCTGGCTTTTTGTGTGAAATCTCAAACAAATGAAAAGATAAAGCCTGAGGTAGGAACACACTGAATAGCATGAAATAATAATGAGCCGTTAAAAATGATTTTGCAATAGCAGTTTTCAGCCTATGTAATGGTGAGAAGGCAGCATGGATAAGAGTTTGGGAAGAACAGAATTCAGAATTAGGATTTGTAGCAGGTGAATCCTGCATATTATGAATGAGGAACCTGGATTGTGTGCCTAGACCAAATATCTTCATTAATACTACCTGCTTTAGAAAAAAGCACAAATATAACATTTATCTCATTTTAACATACAGTAAAAACACATAACTTGCTTCCTCCTGAAAAACATAAGGCAGGCCCTGGCAACAGAAAGTTCTTTTTAGTACTGATAATAATAAAGAAACACAACATCTTTACCTGTATGTATAAGCTTATGTCTTTCCAGATTTCCTATGCTGTTAAAGATCCTTCCACAGATTTCACATGGATGGATGTATCTGAAAACAGACACCAGAAACCATGATTCTTTTCTTGAGATAGAGGTGGTTTTCAGGCATTTCTGTTAGTAACTGCAGGTAGTGAGGCACTGGAATAGGTTGCCCAAGGAGGTTGTGAATGCTTCATCCCTGGCAGTGTTCAAGGCTAGGTTGGACAAGGCCTTGCGTAATATGGTTTAGAGCAAGGTGTCCCTGCCCATAGCAGGGGGGTTGGAACTTGATGATCTCAAGGTTTTTTCCAACCCTAACTATTCTATGATTCTATGATTTATTACTACAAAAGTTCCCGGAAACATAAATTTATTTTTAAAAATGAGGCTTAGGAAACCCGTAAGTTCACTGCAAGCTTGGAGCAGTCAGGCACTGCTAAATCTTCAAATGATACTCTTTAGAAAGTATTCGCCAAAATCACAGATTTAGACTTTATGAAGCCCAAACTGGAAGGCCATTAACTAAGCATCTGTGTGAAGTGAATCATTAGTGATATATATTTAAAGCTTTTAGTAAGCATTCTAACACCCATTATATAGTTTCAGGTATTTTAGTACAGCCCAATTCTCTACAAGCATCAGGTGGCAGAGCCACTGTCAGAAAGATAGCTTCACTTATCAGTCCAACACATCATCTTACTTCTGCACATTAGGATCAGGCAGGTTTTCCCGATGAATGACCATGTGTGCATGGTAAGTTGCCTTTAAGGCAAAACGTCGGTTGCAAATGCTACAGCCATAGCCTTTCTCCTTGTGCACGTCCATGATGTGCTTCAGATACTCCTTCCCTCTGCCGAAGGTCAACTGCAGAATGAACCAATAGTGAATGAAAGGGGAAAAATGTTCTTGGGAACAGCAACAACCTAGCAACACATTATGAAATCTAGAGTCAGAGCCAGCAGACAAATACCCTGTGTATCACTAGATGAAAAACCTGTGAAAGCTGGATTTAGGCTTGAACCCCTATTACATTACATTACAGGCCATTACAAGCACACTGCTACAGGACATCAGTTAACCCATTTGGAAAACTAGTTTGAGATGGTATCTCTGCTTCCTATGCTGCACAAGTAGAGGACCTCCAATTACTTGTGCACTAAGGAACAGCCTTGGAGAGAGTCATGTCCAACCTCCACCAGCTATCAAAGCAAGGATGCCACAGATGGAAAAGATGTCTTTTAGGCTCTAAGGGCATGGCAGGGGCATCTACTCTGCATAGTAAGCGTTGGCAGTAGCTCCAGAAGAGTTGGTATTTCTAGGCACTGCAGGCAGTGATTGTAGCTCAGCTCCTGGAAGAGCTACAATAGATAGGTACTCCACTACTTGGCTCCCTGGGCTAAGTAACCCTGCATATGCATATATGCTCCAACATCTCAGGAGAAAGGGCCATAATGGCAAGATCTTTTGCTCTGATTTTAGAACTAGTCAGGCTATTTCTGACAGCACTGCACAGCTTAGTGACAGTATATTTTGGGATGAGAAAAAATAAAGACAGAGTCTTAAAAAGCTCAGAAGAGATATTTCACTAAGACTCGTTCGTATGTTGTTCTCCTTTAGAGATGCATGAAGAGATATTTTCAGCCAAAAAGAGACTCCCCGTGTCATTACATCTAATATTAATTTTCCACAGCTGCTGTCTTACACAACTGTTTGCTTCACAAACACCTGCAAAAGTGCTAAAAGACCCAGTTCCAAAAAGAGCTTTGTCATCTGAATGGCACAATTGCCCTCATTTGGAAGCACACATTTTCATATAGTTTAAGGACCCATTAAGTGACAGGCATTAAATGAGCACATTGAAAGCAAGCACATAATTAACTGCTGTGATACGCATCTTCTCATGCTCAGTGACATAAGCTTAAAATCAGTTTGCACTTAAAACCAGTTCACGTATAGGAATAGAAAACTCAAGTATTATTATCTTCATGTCTTTAAAATTAAAGTAAGTTGAACACTTACACGACATTAAGTGTAGACTGAAATAAGCTCTAATTTCAAGGGGCCAAGTTACTGGTTTAAATACCAAAATTCCACTGTCCCTATGTCAGTTTGGCTAGTTTTGCTGTTCTCAGTGGTTGCTATTGTATTTCCCTTGCCCTGGCACAGTGGGCTTGCCCACTAAGGGCACAGACTCCAAATGAGCCTTAAGGACTCAATTTTTCCCCATTACTACTTTCCAAAATGGCAAAAGCCATGCAGTATGAGGTTTAAAAAGTCTTCCTCTCTCAGCTGACAGCTGAGTAAAGTATGTTCCAGCTTCTAATACCACCCTGTTAGTAATGAAAGTAAGCCATGAATAACCAGTGACACTTAATATAAGCAGCAGTCTTAATCCTCCAAATTAGATATCCCCTCAAGGACCACCTGATCTCATCAAAGTTAATCGGTTTGTGGACTGTATAATTCAGAAATGCTGTAACTATTTTAATTTGCATATAATTAAGGGATAGTGTAAGATCTGAATGTTCCTTTCTTTCTCCAGTTTTGCTTGCTTCCTTCCTTCGACACAGATAAACATCTGTATTTGCACTTCTAAGAGTTCAGCATTCACCTTACAAAACACCACCTCAAGTCTTATGCTAGAGCATCAACTTCACAGATTAGAGGTAACAAGCACAGCAGAAGAGAGCAGACCTGTGGACTGGCCTTCTGTTTGTGAACCCTTAATGTTACTTAAAATTCTGAATGATTTATGGACATCTCTACTCCCTCCCCCATCCAAAACCAAGTTAATTTGAAAAGTATTTAAAGCTACCTGGCACCTTTTGCAGCTATACTTGTGAGGCTCAGAATCTGCACTTTCATCAGAGTTGTCATCGTTTTCCTCTGATGAGATTCCAATTTTACCAATAAACTCTTCTCTCTGATGATCATCCATTAGTGCTATGTCCTGTGTAGGGCAGGAAAGAATATAATGTTTTAATGGATTAAACTTCTATTTCAAAAGGTAACGCCTGGTAAGTTTTGTTGCCATGTAGCATTAGCAATTGCTGTAATATTATTTATTTAAAATACCCTCCTGAGTCATTCAATTCAGCTAAACAAAGTTTCTCTGTCCATGACTAAACAAGGAGAAACCATTTATCCAAATAAATAATACTCTATTTTTTGTGTACAAACTGGGCATTGTAACAGGTTGTCCAGAAAGGTTGTGGAGTCTCCTTCCCTGGAGACACTCAAGATCCACCTAGACACAATTCCTGTGTAATGTGCTCTAGGTGACCCTGCTTTAGCCGGGAGGTTGGACTAGATGATCTCTGGTGGTCCCTTCCAGCCTCAACCATTCTGTGATTCTGTGAACTTTAATGTAAGCAGAGGCTGAACTGGTACAGTGTTACATCCATAAAAGCATCTTTTATGAGCACCACCGAGTAATACAATTCCTTTTCAATTAAATTCCTTACAATTCAGTGCTAACCTAGGGACATTAAAATAATCTAGGTTTGATTAAACACTATTAATAAAGGTATTTTTGTGATTTAGAACACTTTTATAAAACCAGGTAAGAAACTTGATACATAGGCAGTAATGCTAGCATATGTAAGAGAATCACAATCACTGGCATGGAAAGGGCAGGAACAATTAGTTCTCGTTTGTTTTTTCCCCACAAAGACAGGGCACGACAGTAACCCCTCAGCCCAACCAAAGTACAACTAGGACATCTGTCTGCAGCCTAACTGATAAATTATTCTCCCCACTTTAAACTAAACAACCTCTGTGATTCACAAAACATCACAGAGGTGGTTTTCCCACAGCATTCAGAAAAGTGCTCTGCAGGGACAACTGAAATAAGTTAAAATGTGACAGTCTGCATACTCTGTAGCAATCAGATGTAGCAAAAGAGCCATGGGTAAATCAGAGCACAACTGGTGAGCCTGCTGTAGAAACATCACTGCATGGGGTATGTAATCTCTGTTATGTTGCCACTATGAACACGTGACAATAACAGTCTCAGTGTATTTATTGACATGTCCAAGTGCCTGTTAAATAACATATCATTTTTTAATAAATTAACACAATACCTTAAAATGGACATGAATGTGATCTCTCAACACATCCACCCTGAAAAATTTACGTCCACAGATTTCACAAGTGTATTTCTTGTCTCCATGTGTTAATAGGTGTTTGTTCATATTGCTTCTACACGAAAATACCTAAAAGAGAAGGAGGAAGGAAAAGGGGTTGTATCCTTTCCAGCAGGGCTGCAGTTCTTTTCAAGTTATTCAATGGATAGCACAAAACACATTTACTGTCCTGTTTCATTCACTC